ACATTGGCTGTGGGTTTGTGATATATAACTTATATTATTTTGAGAACTGTTCCCTCTATACCTATTTTGCTGAGAGTTTTATCATGAAGAGATAACTGGATTTTATCAAATATTTTTTCTGTGTTGAAATGATTGTATGATTTTTGTTTTGAATTCTATGTAATGTATCACGTTTTTTGGCTTGTGTATGTTGAGCCACCTTTCATCCCTGGGATAAAACCCACTTGGTCATGGTATATATTTTTATGTTTTTAATGTGCTATTGAATTTGGCTTGCTAATAATTTGATGAGGATTTTTGTGTCTATGCTCATCAGGGATATTGGTCTGTAGTTTTCTTTTGTTGTGTCTTTTCCTGGCTTTGGTATCAGATATACTCCTCATAGAATGAGTTAGGGAGGATTCCCTCCTCTTCAGTCTTGTGGAATAGCTTCAGTATAATTGGTACCAGTTATTCTTTGAAATTCTAGTAGAGTTCATCTATGAGTCCATCAGGGCCAGAACTTTTTTTAGTTAGGAGACTTCTAATAACTGCTTTGATCTTGCTGCTCATTATTGGTATGTTTAGTGTTTCAGTTTCTTCCTGATTCAAGGTTTGTGGGTTATGTGTTTCTAAGAATTTATTAATTTCCTTTAGATTGTCTAGTTTGTTTGCATGTAGGTATTTATAATAATCTTGGATGATCTTTTGAGTTTTTTGTCATATCACTTCTCATGTCTCTCTTTCCATTTCTGATTGAGCTAATTTGAGTGTTCTTTCTTCATTTCTTTTTTTTTTCTTTTGAGTCAGAGTCTCACTCTGTGTTGCCCAGGCTGGAGTGCAGTGGTATGCTCATGACCACCACAACCTCAACCTGCTGGGCTCAGGCGATCCTTCCGCCTCAGCCTTTCAAGTAACTGGAACTACAGGTATGCACCATCACACCCAGCTAATTTTTTGATTTAGTGTAGAGACGAGGTCTTGCCAAGTTGCCCAGGCTGGTCTTGAACCCCTGAACTCAGGCTGTCCTCTTTCCTCAGACTCCCAAAGTGCTGGGATTACAGGCATGAGCCACTGCACCCAGCTCTTTGTTTCTTAATTAATCTAGCTAGCAGTCTGTCAGTTTTATCTTTTGGAAGAACCAACTTTTTGTTTTATTGATCCTTTGTGTTTTTTTTAAATTTCAATTTCATTAAATTCTATTCTGATCTTTGTTTTTTTCTTTTTTTCTGCTAGCTTTGTGTTAATTTGTTCATGTTTTTCTAGCTCCTTTTGAGGTGTGATGTTAGGTTGTTGATATGTGCTTTTAGTCTTTTAATGTTAGACTTTAAACGTTATAAATTTTCCTCTGAGTACAGTTTTAACTGTGTCCCAGAGATTTTGATAACTTACTTCACTGTTGTCATTTATTTCATAGAATTTTTAAAATTTCCATCTTGATTTCATTGTTCATTCCAGGATTATTTAAGAGCAAATTATTTAACTTCCGTGTTTGTGTTTGGTTTTTGGGTTCTTGGAGTTAATTTCTAGTTTTATTTCACTGTGGTCTTAGAAGGTGCTTGATGTGATTTGGATATTTTTCTGTTTATTGAGACTTAACTTGTGGCCTATCATATTTTCTGTCTTGGAGAATGTTTCATGTGCTAATGAGAAAAATGTATATTCTGTAGTTTGGAGTTGAAATGTTTTGTAGATGTGTGTTAACTAACACACATAGATTTCCTCTACATTTCTGTTTAACTTCATTGTTTCTTTGTTGACCTTCTGCCTCAATGATCTGTACATTGCCATCATCAGTAGAATGTTAAAGTGTTATTGTATTGCCATCTAACTCTTTTTTTCGGTGTAGTAGAATTTGTTTTGTAAAGCTGAATGCTTTGGTGTTGGGCACATATACATTTAAAATTGTTATGTCTTCTTGTTGGATTGATCTCTTTATCATTATACAATAGCCATTTGTGTCTTTTTTAAAACTGTTGTTAATTTAAAATCTGTTTTATCTTATATGAGATTGATTACTCCTGCTCGTTTTTGGTTTCCATTTGCATGGAATAGTTTTCCTCACCACTTTACCTTGAGTTTATATAGGAGTATTGTTGTGTTAAGTGGTTCTTTTGAAGGCACAGATTTTTTTTTTTTTAAATTCATTCTGTCTATATTGTTTGAGTGGGGCATTGAGACCATTTACATTCAGAGTTAGTAATGATATGTGAAGTACTATTCATCATACTGGTTGTTACCTTGTTGCTTTATTTATTTTCTCTTGGATTGATGTTCCAGAAGGCCTGTGGACTCCTTTATAATTTCCAGGGTTTTTCTGCTGATGTATTTTGACCTTTTGTTTCAGTATTTAGAACTTTTTTGAGAATTTCTTGTAGAGCCAATCTAGTGGTGACAAATTCTCTCAACTTTTGCTTTTCTGTGAAGGACTAAATTTCTCCTTAATTTATGAAACTTAGTTTTGGGGGATACAAAATCTTTGACTGATTGTTACTTTGTTGGAGGAGATTGAAGATGGGGCTGTAGTCCCTCCTGGCTTGTAGGGTTTCTTCTAAGAAGTCTGCTGTTAATCTTACAGGTTTTCCTTTGTAAGTTATTTAGTGATTTTTATCTCATTGCTCTTAAAATTCTTTCCTTCACGTTAACTTTGCATATCCAGAATATATATCTTGGAGATAACATTTTGCAATGAATCTTCTGGAGATATTTTGGGCTTCTTGTACTTGGATGTTTAGATCTCTGGCAAGGCTAGGGAAGTTTGCCTTCATTATTACCTCAAATAGGCTTTCCAAACCTGTGGCCTTTCTCTTCTTCCTCAGGATCACCTATGATTCTTAGGTTTGGATGTTTTACATGATCTCACATTTCTTGGAGACTTTGTTCCATTCTCTTTATTCTTCTTTATTTTCTGATTGTGTTAATTCACAAGCTTTGTCTTCAAGTTTTGAGATCCTTTCTTCTGCTTGTTCTAGTCAATTGTTAAAACTTTCCCCTGCATTTTGTACTTCTTTCATTTCAGGAATTTTAACTTGTTTGTTTTGAAGGTGTCAATCCTCCTGAGTAGTTTTTAAATTTTCTTTATGTTGGTTTTCAATTTTCTCCTGAAGTTCACTGGTCAGTTTTATAAGCAATCTTTTGAGTTCTGTGTTTGGAATTTCAGAAATTTTATTTTGGTTAAGATTCAGTCCTAAAAGTTGATGTTGTCTTTTGATGGAGGTGTTGGAAAACTCTGTTTTTTATATTGTCGAAATTACTTATTTGGTTATTTCTCATTTGGGCAGACAGTTTCTTCTTATTTTAGGTTGACAGGTGACTGATGTAGACACTATGGGGGTTCCCTTAGTTATATATACCCTTAGTGTGGTGAATTTTTAAATTTCCAGATGTTGCGGCCCTGTACTGTTTTCCTGCACTGGCTCATGGTGTCATGAGTGGCTGGAGTGGCTTGGAAAATGTTGTTAGCTGGCGCTTAGCATCAGGTCTTTCTAAAAGCTGATGTACTGTATCTGGCTGTGCTGTTGACCTTCTGCCAGGAGATGGCACTTGTGGAAGAAAACCAACTGTGATGGTGTCTGTAGGGGTTCTCCTTGGCATGTGTTGCTCTGCTGAACTGTCTAGCCTGCCTGGGCTCAGGGCAAAGCTCTGGGGATTTCCTTAGTTTTTAGTCTAGGGACCCTTCGGTGTGAGTACAGGGGAAAGGAGCTGAAGCACCCCTCAGGTGTGCACTCTTAGCTACCCCAGTGGGGATTAGGAACTCTTTGACTTTTTATCTTTCCCTTGTGTTCTTGAAAACTTACTTTCTGGAAACAGTGGGATATTTTAGATATATCTTGATTTTCCCTGCCCCAGTTTGTCTCACTAGATACCGTTCAAGGAGTTCTTGTATCTTTTATTGAAAAAAGCCTAGAGGCTGGGATTGCATGTGGAAGTTGATTTTTGGACAAAGAGTACTTCTGCTAGTGTTGGGTTACTCTTAAATGTAACAGAGGTATAAACTGTTTATTTAAAAATATGTGGGTTTACTTGGGACTTTACATTTTAATATGTCATGTTGTTATCCACTTTTTAAAAATATGTGGTTATATTGATTGCCAATGATTTTCTTCTATATTCACATAGGATATTTTAAGTAATGATATTTCAGACTTCTATTACATTGTATCTAATGTGTTGTAAGTACAGATGTTAGAAATAAAAAAAATATTATTTTGACATTAATGTGATAGAGTAAACTCTTTAGGATAAAGATGGTATAGTATGGGTTAGATTTTTCTTGAGAAACCAACAAGTTGGAAAAACTCACTTTTGCTGAGGTTTTTATAATGAACACCTGAATTATTATTTTGTTAAGACACCTGAGTAGTATTTATGCTTATTTAGAATAGTGAGTAATGCATTTCTTGAGCAGGTAAAATGCTTGATTAGTTTATATGTGGAAATTATGGTTTTCCAATGATGATTATAGGTATGCTATTGAATGCTTAGGAGCAAGAAAAGCATCATTAGGTAAAGTAGTATTACTCTTGTTCATGTTTAGATACATATAAGATATTCTGTAGCTGAGTTTATTTTGGAAAAGTTAATAAACTTTTGTTATTTTGGTATGTAGGTATTTATTTCATTAGGTTTTTCCCAAGGCAAACTTCTGGGTGAAGAAGTGAACATACAAGTTTTCTTTTCCTTTTTGGCTATCATGTATGTAGTAAATATGTACCTTAATAGTCTCAGAAAATTTATGTAGGTACTATATTCCTTGTATTATTTGTTGAAACATGATTTACTGTACTCTGTTATATACCATTGTCTTTTTGTGTCTGAAATTTCTTTTTTCTTTATTTCTGTTGAAATTGCCATTGCTAAAACTAAGCTCTATTTGAGTAAAGTTATTAATGTTACATATTACTTCTCCAAATACATTTTTCCGTTTATGTAATCAAAGTGTTTTTAGTTTATACTATTGTCTGAAGTAGAGCATTATATGATAAATTTTTTTCCTATCATTTTTCTCCCCATTGCCTAAGAGTTCTTGAGGCTAGCATAGCAGAAAATAAAGCATGTTTGAAGAGGACACCTACGGAAGTTTGGAAGGATTCTCGAAACCCTTATGATAGAAAAAGACAGGACAAAGCTCCTGTTGGGCTAAAGAATGTTGGCAATACTTGCTGGTTTAGTGCTGTTATTCAGGTAAGGATCATTACAGCTCTTAATTTGGTGGGTATGGTGGCAGTGGAGAGTGGGTTCGTGCTGTGTTTCTTTTGAGTTGTACACTTTAAAACTAAGTACAAGCCGGGTTCGGTGGCTCAGCCTGTAATCCCGCGCCTTTGGGAGGCTGAGGTGAGTGAATTGCCTGAGCCCGCGGGTTCGAGACCCGCCTGGGCAGCGAGACCTCATCTCTACAATAAATCAAAAAAATCAGCTGGGCGTGGTGGCGCATGCCTGTAATTCCGGCTACTCGGAAGGCTGAGGTGGAAAGATCGCCGGAGCCCAGCAGGCCAAGGCTGCGGTGGCCGGGAGCGGCCACTGCACTCCAGTCTGGGCGACAGAGTGAGACTCCAACTCAAAAAAAAAAAAACTAAGTACAGAAAAGTTTTTTTATATGACCCTCTGTCTAGCAGGTGGTTTGGGGATTGCATTATTCTTCCTCCCCTCTCTACTTTTTACTCCCAGTATGGAGTTATAATAGTAGAGCACTGCCTTTGCCTTTCACTATCGAGAATCAGTTTCTCCTTCCTCCTTGCTATTTAGGATTTGTTGTTGGGGTAGAAGGAAAATATTTTTGCGTTTATTTCCCCACAAATTTAGGGCAGTGTGGTCATGAAAACCAGAACTGTATTTTTATAGGTCAGATCAGATTTATTTGTATGGACTAGAAAATGTTATTCATAGAATTACAGTCATTTAAATAATATTTTTAATCAGAAGAAGATTTTCATTTGAGGTTGGTATAGATTTACCATGCATATATGAGAATAATGTAAATGGTATGATAAATCAAGAATAACACATTTTCTTTTTAACTAAGGTGAGTGATATTTGTGAATGTGATATTATTCTCGTCTCAATTTGTAACAACTTTCTTTTTAATATAGTATTTAGCTTGATTTCTTCCTTTTTAAATCTTTTAATGTGATAACGACTATATAGTTCTTTGCTATTCTCAATTGATATTGATAATCTTATATACCAGATGGTAAAGCTTGAAATAAAATAATCTACGAATACTATTCCCTTTATTTTTACTTCTCTTTATGAAAATTAACTAATATTTTGTGTTCATTTCTGTAAGATAGTTGAGTTGTAGCATATTATTTAATGTTCTTGATGACTCTTTTATATCATTGTCTGTGCATGCTACTTTTTAAAATATATCTTCATTTTGTAAGTTTTCAAACCTTGTGTGCATGGCAGCATAAATATAGATATGATATTAAGGAACCTAATTGGTTATTCAGTTTATTTTATTTCTTTCTTTCTTTTTTTGTTGTTGAGTTGGAGTCTGACTGTCACCCAGACAGCCTCAACCTGCTGGGCTCCGGCGATCCTTCTGCCTCAGCCTTCCAAGTAGCTGGAACTACAGGCACGCGCTACTACGCCCGGATAATTTTTTGATTTATTGTAGAGATGAGGTCTCGCCTGCCCAGGCGGGTCTTGAACCCGCAGGCTCAGGCAATCCACTCACCTCAGCCTCCCAAAGGCGCAGGATTACAGGCTGAGCCACCGAGCCCGGCTTTCAGTTTATTTTCTACAAGCTTTTTAGTTGTTTTCTCTAGATGATTAATCTGTAATTTTATCTTGTTTCCTATTAGTGTTGTATTTTCACCTTTCCCTTACTCTTTTCCTTTTTTTTTTAACTTCTGTGACATAATACCATACAAATTGATTTTCTGTGGTTTTCTGGATTTGGTTCACTCTTTAATATGCTGTGGTACATGCTAGTAAGTAATATGCTGTGTTATTGGTTTTTCCAAGACATTAAGATGTTAAGGAATGCCTGGATTGACATAAACCTATAGTAGTATCTTTTTTCCTAGCCTTGATTATGCATTATTTATTCGTTTACATCCCTAAAATAACTAAAATTTATTTGATTCTTAGCATTTCTTAGATCTTCTTACTAGGTTATCTCACTTTACTTGCGCTATTTATTTAAGATTTTGTACCTTTTATAATTTAGACATCATTTAAAAATATAAAGTACAGTTTTAAGGCTGTGATCTCAGTGTTCAAGAATATGTTTTGTGCCTTCTATTTGGTTAGGTATCTGCAATTCCTCCATTATAGCCTGTAAATGAAACTCATTAGTCAGGAGCCTCTCTTAGAAAAGTATAAGAAGAAAGGAAATATTTTAAAATAATTAGTATTTTGTTAGTTAAAATAATCGCTCTTTATTTCTTCATTCTCTGTTTGTAGGAAAGGTCTGTAGAAAAGGTTGGTTTGAAATGATAAATAAATATAGGATTAACCATCTTTTGATTTCCCCCCCTTTTTTTCTTTCAGTAACTTTAGGGGGCACAAATAGTTTTTGGTTATATGGTTGCATTTCAGATGGCAAAGAAGTCAGGGCTGTAAGTGTATCTACCACCTCTACCTATGCACTTCTACCAGGCAGCTGATTTTTCATAACTCTGCCCCTTCCCACCCTCCCCATTCCAAGTCTCCAATGTCCATTATATCTTTCTCTGTGCCTTTGCAGATCCTTTATTTAGCTCTCACTTGTGAGAACATGCAGTGTTTGGTTTTCCATTTCTGTGTTAGTTCACTTAGCATAATGATCTCCAATTTCCTCTAGGTTACTGCAAAAGACATTATTTCATTCTTTTAACAGATGAATAGTATTTCATAGAGTGTATGTTCCACATTTTCATTAGGCATTGATTGGTTGTTGCATTTAGGTTGACTCCACATGTTTGCAGTTGTGAATTGTGCTGCAATGAACATGCGGGTGCAGGTTGTCTTTTTTACATAATTAACCCTGTTCCTTTGGGTAGATAACTAATAGCGGTATTGCTAGATCTAATAGTTAGACCTACTTTTCGTTCTTTGAGAAATCTCCATAGTGATTTCAATAGAGGCTGTACAAATTTATAGTCCTACCAGCAGTGTACAGTATAAGCATGCCTGTATCTCTGCATCCACACCAACATCTATTGTTTTTTGATGTTTTGATAATGACCATTCTGACTGGTGTAAGGTGTATCTCATTGTGGTTTTGATTTGCATTTCCATAACGATTAGTGATGTTAAGCATTTTGTCCATGTTTCTTGGCCATTTGCATATCTTCTTTTGAGAGATGTCTTCTCATGTCATTTGCCTACTTTTTAATGGGTTTTGTGGAATTATTTGCGTTTTTTGCTGATTTGTTTGAGTTTTTTGTAGATTCTAGATATTAGTCCTTTGTTAGATGTATAATTTGAGAATATCTTCTCCCGTTCTGTATGTTGCATATTCGCTCAGTCGATTATTATTATTTTTGCTGTGCAGAAACTTTTTAGTTTAATTAAGTCCCACTTATTTTTCTTTTTTGTTACATTTTGCTTTTAGGGTTTTATCTATAGATTCTTTGGTCAATGTTCAGAAGACTGAACATTTTTTATAGTTTCTCTTAGGATTTTTATGGTTTCAGGTCTGGCATTTAAGTCTTTCATTCATTTTGAGTTAATTTTTGTATATGAGGAGAGATATGGATCAAGTTTCATTTTTCTGCATGTAGCTATCCAATTTTCCCAGCACTGTTTGTTGAATATAGTGTCCTTTTCCAACTGTATGTTTTTGTCTGCTTTGTCAAAGATCTATTGGTTATAGGTTACAGGAAGTTCTCAGCATACAGTTGAGTTTCATTCCAAGAATGTGTTTGTAAGTCCAATTTGTTTTAAGTTCAACAAAGTTAGCCTAGGTATGCAACTAGCACAACTGACTATATAGTACTGTATTTATTTAAAAGGCTAAACTGACAATCTGGCAGAAAAAAAAGATAGTTATACATCTTTCAAGTACATAACTTGAAGGTTCATGTTTAGGGGACTCACTCTATTTGGGTTCATTTTTGGATTTTCTCTTCTATTCTATTGGTCCATGTATCTGCTCTTGTACCAGTACCATGCTGTTTTTGGTTGGTAATGGGATGCCTCCGGTTTTTTGTTTTTGTTTTTTGCTTAGGATTGTTTTGGCTTATTCTGGATCTTTTTCCATTCCATATGAATTTTAGGATTGTTTTTTAATTTTGTGAAAAATGACATTGGTAGTTTGATAGGGATTTCATAGAATCTGTAGATTGCTTTGGGTAATGTGGTTATTTTAATAATGTTGATTCTTCCAGTCCATAAGCATGGAATATTTCTTCATTTGTTTGTGACCTCTGCAATTTCTTTCATCAGATTTCTGTTTTCCTTGTAGAGATGTTTCACCTACTTGGTTAAATGTATTCCTAGTTATTTTAGCTTTTTGGCTGCTATTGTAGATGGAATTCTTAATTTGATTCTCAGCTTAGTCACTGTTGATGTATAGCAGTGCTACTTGATTTGTGTGTATTGATTTTGTGTTTCCTGAAACTTACCAAATTCATTATCAAGTCTAGGAGTCTTTTGGAGGTGTCTGTAGAATTCTCTAGGTATAAGATTATATTGTTGGCATACAGGGATAGTTTCATTTCTTCTTTTCCAGTTTGGATACCCTTTATTTATTTAAATTTCCAGATTGTTCTGGCTAGAACTTCTAGTTCTATATTGAATAGGAATGGTCACAGTGGACATCCTTGCCTTGTTCCTGTTCTGAGGGGGAATGAATTCACCTTTTCTTCATTTAGGATGACACTGGCTGTGGGCTTGTTGTATATGGCTCAAGTACTCCACCTGTATGCAATCTTGACTACCATATTGGGGTTTGGGAGGGAGTCCCTGGCCGTTGGGGTAGCACTTGCAGAGTGGGCACAGAAGAGTTTACATGGTGAGTAAGAGGTTGCTATGGCAACATATCTCACCAGGCTCCCCACCTTAACCTCAGGCATTGTGCCTTCCAAATGTCAAAGTCAGCGGCCTGGCCTGTCAGCTACTGCAGAGTTTTCTCTTGGGTCCCATCCTACCTTAGGCCAGTTGGAAAGCAGCCACTGCAAGGGTTGAGTTCTTGAGATATGCTGCCTGGAGCTGCTTGGTTTCTTTTGTTTGTTTGTTTGTTTGTTTGTTTAATG